ACCATACAGGCTGCTGAGAACTTGATCTCAGGAGTCCCCGCAGCATCACGTGATCCGATTGACAACATTATGCTGATCTGATCTGATGAGCAGGAAGTAGTTTCCTCAGAGAAGTCGGCGATAAACCCCTCGCTGATATAAGTCTGGTCCAGTCTGGAGATTAAAAGACCATCAGTTACTTGACTAGAATATTAGTTGAGCAAAGAGGATTTAATGTAAAGAATTGTGAACTAAATATAAAGTTGTTAACCAGCTAACGAAGGATAAAAAAGGGTACCAGACTCAAGTAGTTAGCAGCTGCAGGAAGCAGTTACCACTCTTAGGGCTGAGGCAAGAAAAGGAAGAGTTTGAAAGGATGAAAACCTGGAAACCCAGAGGAGGATCCTGCAGAGCTCAAACTTCAAGCTCTAAGGAGGGGCCCCTCTGCTTGGTGCTGGTGACATCTGACAGGTTTTTGGGTGTTGGTGGCAACGTATGCATTGGATTGTACAGGTTCAATCCACTTGTCTTCCACTCAGTCCATACAGCTTTTCATTTTCATTGAGGTCTAGAGTGTACGCTGGCTCTGGAGCAAGTACAGGCCGTATGCAGGCTGATCTTCCCCCTGGGCCTGTAACCGGCCAGATCCACAGATCTCCAAAGTGCTGGTGGCAAACAGGGTGTTGTATGGAGCTGCAGCAGGCACCAACCAGTAGGTGACTTATGGGAGCAGATCCACGCTGTCCATGGGTAACTATTTCCCTTTAAGAAACCACTTGAGACTCCTTACTGGCCCTGCTAGAGACCCAACATCTGCCCATACCTGTGCGTGCTGGTGTGCTCTGAGCTTCTCCCTGGACCTGGGTGTGTCACGTCTGCATCAGTCCAATTCTGCCAGGAGGACAGGCCGCGCAGGTATTGGAGTGAAGAAAAAAATGTGTCCTAGGTATAAAGTTGTTAACTAGGTGAGGTGAGTGAGAATTCCAAGTTGGGAGTTCTGACCCCTTCCTAGGAAGGGCCAGGGAGTAAATGGTTTTGATTTTCAGCCCATTCTGTCTTAACCACTCAGCCCTTCTGCTGCATGGAAAACAGACAATAAACAAGTTGCTCGGCAGTGTCCCAATTAAACTTTATTTACAAATGCAGATGGGCTAGGCTAGACCTGCTTTCAGGTGTCAAGCAGAAGTTGCTGCCTTTCTTTTTTTAAGCTAGGAATCAAACCCAAGGCATTTACAGAGTCACATCCCCAGTGCTTTATTTATTTAGATTTTGAAATGTTCTTGCTAAATCGCCCAGTTGCCATCCTTCTGCCTCAACTTCCAGAATGCTGGGATTACACGTGTGCATCACCATTCCCGGCTACACATCCCTGGTTCTGACAGAGCAAGGGGAAGAACTTATTAAACTGTTGGAAACTCAGAAATGGGGTGGAACTGAAGAGGGGCACCTACAGCTGGGACTCGTGTCCCCAAGAGGGGCTGGGTGAGGCTAGGATGAGGTGGGCTTGCAGGAAGATGCAAATTGGCTTTCATCTGCTGCCAAGGAATGAGCCACTGCTGCCAGGCAGAGAGGGAGAGGATGGAAGGATCAGGCTCCTCCAGGCCTACAGCGTCCCATACTGCCCCCTACTGGTGGAGCCTGGCAAAGTGACTGGCAAAGCAGGAAAGTGGGTTACGCTAACCTAGTGTAGAGGTTGGGTTTGGAGCTGAAGAACACTCACAAGTGCTTTGACTGGCTTTCGGGCATTTCGGTGATCCCCCTTACACTGTCACTTCAACTTGAATTCTTCCTGCTTTCATTCCAAAGATTAAACAACTGTCAGGATCCCGTTGGGGTAAATGGAGGTGTTTATTTATTTTTGGTACCGGGAATCGAACTCAGGTCTTTGTGCTTGCAAGGCAGGCAGCGGCACCACTAAGCTAAATCCCTGGCCCAAATGGAGGTGCTTATTAAGGGTGGGGAAGACCTCTCTAAAAAAGAGGTGTTTCTGCTGGGAAATGAAGGTGAGCAGGGGGTGAGAGCGGGCCCTTGTCAGATCCTAGAACGGACTTGCAGCATTTAAGGATCCCTCTGTCCTACTTTCAGAGCAAAACCCAAATTGACTGCCTCTCTCAACCACCACTGCTGCTTCTCTGTTCCACCCCTAACATCTCCCTGGGCATCTCCTGCTGGCACCCCGGTCCCCGAATCCAATCCTCTCTGTTGCCTGTGGTCTGTTCTCACAGCACCCAGATCATATCCCCTCTAGCTCATGCCCTCTGACACAATGTCCTTCATTGCCTTTGGAGCAAAACCCAGTCCCTCACCACAGTCTGGCCTGAAGACTTGCAGAGCTCTGGTTGCACCCTGCTGCATTTCCCACCCTTGCTGTTCTGCTGCCTCCTCTCTGAAGGCAGCAAGTGGCCTCATACCCAGGGCCTGCACTTGCTGTCCCTTGGCCTCTTGCCCCTAGCCTTCTCCTGTTTTGCCCCATATTTCCTTCAAATAAGACCTCCTCACAGTGGGAGCTGTATCCCATACAGAGACTCCAGCTGGTCTCCGTAGCCGTGGTTTATTCTTCTTCGTAGCACTTGTTAATACCTGACCTTGTGCATTTGTATTCCCGACTGTGGTCCCAAAGCTAGAATTGTGTGTGGCCAGTGCAGGATGATCAGCAAAGATTTGTTTAGCATTTAAATTAATGAATGAACAAGTGGGATGGGCAGAGTCACTGCAGTTCAGGGACAGAGGATAAGATGGCAGGGAGCGAGGCAGTCTAGGTCATAGGAGCCAAATGGAGCAGAGCGTAGGAGAGGGACAGGTATGGTCAGAGTCTCTTGGGGCTGGGTGAGGATTTGGCTGGTCACTGGAGAATGATGTGCGTTATTACAGTATTGGAGCAGGGGGATGGTGTGGCCATCCTGTGTCTTGCAGAGATGTCTCAGGCTGCCAGCTGACGAGCCCGAGGCTTTCCAGTCAGAGATGATGGCCAGGGTAGGGACAGGCAGGAGAGGCGGAGAGGAGAGACTCGGTTCCACAAGTGTTTGGGGCCAGAGTCAGGAGGGCCCTAAGGTGGGAGAAGGAGATAGCTGTGTATAGAATGCCCTCTGGCCTTTTCTTGGGATGGGGTCAAGAAAGATGAAATTCAGAGCAGTGGTAGGAGACAGGGTCCGAGGCTACCATATGTTCCTCGGAGGTTTGAGAACTTGCTCTTTCCTCCAGAGTCAGCACCCATTTCCTGAGCTTCCTGGGAACCAGGGAAGAGTCACCTTACCTCAGATGCCCCCAGCCACGGAGGGACAGGGCAGCAGAAATAAAAAGCCCCTCAGAAGGATAGTGGTTCCAAACCACAGGGGCTACTAGATCAAGGCACTTACTTATCCTGTCCGCGCCTCGGTTACATAGCGTGCAGAGAGGTGGGAATGGTGTCCTTCTGCATGGGGTTTCTGCGGGGACCAAAGGAGCTACTCCACTGAGGCGCCAGGGAAGAAGAGTCTCTACATCTGAGAGCAGCTGGGAGGCCAGGGAGCTAGCCGGGACCTTCTGGGGCTTCAGCAGAGGAGGGGATGGGATGGGAGGGGTTCCCTGCTCTGAGCTGGCCCCACAACACATCCAGACAGCTCTGCCTTTGAAAGGCCTGTGGTTTTGTAGCAGAGGCAGGAGAATAAACATATATTTTTCCAGATTGGTCTGAGACAGGTGGTGTCCAGGTATGTGGGGTCCCTGGAAGGCATCCCAGTCAGGAAGGAAGGTAAGGGGAGCCCCAAGAAGGATGGGTGGGACAGCACTGGTGTGTAGGAGGTGGTCCAGGCAAAGGGAGTGGCCAGAAGAAAACTGGCAGGAGAGAGGGATGGTGAGAGGCCCACGAGTGTGAGGGAGAGAGGGGAGAGAGGGAGGCTTTACATGGCCAAAACCAGGCAGCGTTTGTGGGGAGCCTCCTCTGTGCAGGCTCTGGGGTACTGGACAGGCCAGGAGCTTGTAACGTAGTGGGGAAGATAGAGTGAACAAGCACTCAGAAGCTATAAATCAGAGTAATAGGTACTGTGAGAAAGAGGGCTCGGGCGGTGCAAGGTGGGCCTGGAGGCTGCGGGGTGTTTTTTTTCCCCAGCCTTGTTTCCAGCCCTCAGCTGCAGGCTGGCTAATGTCCCCTTGAGCCACAGTGAGATGTCCCTTTTGAATCAGCCAGCACATTCTGAAAGGGGTCCAGGATATACCAGGAGGCCTTGGCCCATAACCTGTTTTCTGTCCCCCACGTCTCCACTTCAGACCTGGACTCCAGCACTGCTGACCCTCGGGACCATGTGCATCTTCCCTCAAAGCCCTATCAGCTGAGCTGTTCCCCGGCCCTCTGTGCAACGGGGGGCTTCAAACTCTTACATCGCTAGTGTCTGCCAGGGTCAGGAAAGTAGTGTTCATGGCCTTACTTTCTAGTCTCCAGCTCCTGCTTTTACTCACTAGAACCTTTGCCTCTCTGAGACTCAGTTTCCTCATCTATAAAACGAGCTAGGCATGGCTCAGGGAGCCATTAGGAGGAACACACAAGATAATCTGTGTGAAGTGCTCTCCAGCGTGGAGCTTGGCACACGGTCAGCACCTAATGTCTGTCACCTGTTGCTGACCAGTACTACAGAAGAGGTAAAACTAAGGCCTGAAGTGGGTCCCAGAGCAGGTTGGGGTCCGGGTGTTTTTGATACCAGACTTAGGCTGTCTGCATGACACCGGGGCAGGTTTAGAGGGTAGGCGCAAGTGGTGGGTTTTATAAAGCAGAGTCCTGATGATGATCTTGGTGGGAGAGAGGACAGAGGAATGGCTGCGAAGAGACATCCAGGCAGGACAGAGGTGGCAGGGGGCTCTTATAGAGCCGAGACAGCCTGGTTGGCCCAAGGTGGATTCCTGGAGCCAGTCCAGGCTCCCGGGTCCTTTTGGTCTTTTCTTTTCTCTTCTTCACCCCTCTCTCCCAAAGGTGAATCTCATGCTCTCTAACTGCCCATCTCTGTCTTCCACTGCTCTCCCTCTGCCCCTCCCTGCTTCTCCTCCAGCAGAAGGCAGACCTGGCTGTAGCTGCGTTCACCATCACAGCCGAGCGCGAGAAGGTTATCGACTTCTCCAAACCCTTCATGACCCTGGGGATCAGCATCCTGTACCGAGTGCACATGGTACACTTCTCCGGGGGGCTGGGGGCTGCAGCCTGACATGGAGGCTAGAGGCAAGGGCTGCAAGTGGGAGCTGGACTCCCGCTGGACCTGGGACAGGGCATTCTGGCTCCTGGGTCCCTGGCAGGGGCAGAGGCTGAACCCATGGCTGAGGTCTGGAGCGGTTCCGGGTTTCACTCCCTCTCCCTACAGGGCCGCAAGCCTGGCTACTTCTCCTTCCTGGATCCCTTCTCCCCTGCTGTGTGGCTCTTCATGCTTCTTGCCTACCTGGCTGTCAGCTGTGTCCTGTTCCTGGCTGCCAGGTGAGTCCGCAGCCTGCAGCCTGGGAAGGAGGGATGGGGTGGACACATGAGCTGGGCCCTCCACTTTGGGGACTCGGATCCCCTATGCTGTCCTTCCTCTCTTTCTCTCCTTGCCTGTGTATCTCTGCCTCTCTCCCTCCGTGCCTCCCTCTCTCCCTCTCTCCCCCTCCATCCCTCCCCTCCTTTTCTGATCTGTGACTCCCATGTCCTTCCTCCATTTTTTCTCCTGTACTTTCATTCCTTGGCCTCATCTACCCGTCCATTTCTCCATAGGCTGAGTCCCTACGAGTGGTATAACCCCCACCCGTGCCTGAGGGCGCGTCCTCACATCCTGGAGAACCAGTACACACTGGGCAACAGCCTCTGGTTCCCTGTGGGGGGCTTCATGCAGCAGGGCTCGGAGATCATGCCCCGGGCACTGTCCACGCGCTGTGTCAGCGGAGTCTGGTGAGTGGCTTCCTATCTGCTCTGGCAGGGCTGGGAGAGACCTCTGAGTCTGGAGGCTGAGGGACTGCTGCATTCTCCCAAAGGGTTCCCTGTTCCGCCCCCTGGGCTGTGCGATAGGGAACTGACTGGGGAAAGCTGAGGCCCAGCATGGCCACCACTATCTGTGTGACCTTGGAAAGCTACGTCCCCTCTCTAAGCCTCAGTCTCCATCTAAAAAACTGGGGATTAAAAAGACTCGTGTCTCAGGGCTGTGAGGATTCAATCAGGTGTTACAGAAAAGTTCTGGTTCGCCTTGTGCTAACCTGAGGCATTATAGTCACGAAGGGCATTGCTATTGCTCTCGTGGACACTGCCTTGGTCACCACAGAGACAGAGTCCTGGAAGTTCCATGGCAACCCAGTAGCCTAGGACGAACTTCTCATGGCCCTGGAACCATTTCCAGTAAGCTCCACATTGGGGGACGACTAATGGTGTCTGGCTCGTAGCTTTTTTTTTTTTTAATGCAGATTTAGATGTCAACACAAAAACCGGGTAAATTCACTCGCAAATCTGGGAAATCTTGTGGCCCTGGCCAGCATCCTTGTAGCCATCAGTCTCATCGCATACTCCCCTCTTCTACTCCCTGGCCAGGCCTTGCTTTTGCTGCCTTGGGCTTTCATACAGCAGCTAGAGTTTGCTGCATTTCCTGCGACTCCTGTTGCCTTATTCTCAGGAGGAACACAGAAAAGAGAGAAGCCTTGGGATGGGGAATGTTCTCCCTGTTGTGTGGATTAGAAAGAAGGACTGGCCTGTCAGACAGCATGGCTGCAGCTAGAGGAAGGGCCAGGCCGGAGCTGGGCCACCCCTTGTGCCAGCCCTCAGATCTGCCTAGGCCCCGCCTGTCTCCTGGGCCCATGGTAGGTTCTCCATGGCCCCCCAGGCCTTCTGGAGTGCTGCCTCCTCGCTCCTCCCCACCGAGTGCCTGCATCCGTGGTCCTTCCACAGGGGCCTGTCTAGCCCCTGCGTGTGCCAAGTGACCAAGGGAAGAGTCAGTCCCACATCTGCCCTCTAGAAGCAGAGAGGCTGAGACTAAGCGAGCAAACGCATAAATACTGGATGTCGTATTTTGTTTAAAGGATACGTCCCCAACACGTTGTCTAATTTGAAACACGTTCAAGACTAACCTAGATGGGCAGCAGATTTTCCTCTCTCCCAGCTAAGTGGAACTAACTGCTGTAGGGTGGACGTTTGCAGTTCAGTTGGTCCACTGGCTCGGAAACTTTCAAGTCTTGACGATTTTAAAATGTTTTTGAATTTGCATCATTTCCAATGGTACCCCTGTATTTCTGTCCTGTGTCTGGAAAAAAAGGCACGTGGTTGGATAGTATATGTGCTGCTGAAGCGAGCACAGCATATGGTTTAAAGCAATATACGTATTATCTAACAGTTCTGGAGCCCCTGAGTCCAGAAGAGATCTCCCAGGGCTAAGAGCAAACTGTTGGCAACGCTGGTTCTTTCTGGAGACTCCAGGGGAGAAATCTTTTCTTTCCCTTTTGCAGCCTTGGCTCAAAGCCCCTTCCTCCATCTTCAAAGCCAGAAACGTCACACCTTCAAATCGTGAACTCTGACTCCTCTTTTCCACTTATAAGGACCCCTTGAGGTGCTGTTGGGCCCACCTGGACCCTGTCTTCCTGCCTCATCGGTGTCTTAATCACATAGCGCAGTCACACCTGTGAAGTAACTTTTACCGTGTGAGGCGACGTGTTTATGTCTTCTAGGAGTTAGACTGTACACATCTTTGGTGGTGGGAAGGGGCTTATTCAGCTGCCACACACCGTAAGTGAAATGTATTAATATTTTCAATGTAAGGATGTATCAAATGCACATGAGATGTACGGTTGAGAAATAGTGCGCAGTGGCGGAACAGCAGAGAATGGCCTCCTGAGGTATCCAGGAGGAAGGCGCGCTCCAGACAGGCAGGAGAGGGTGTGTGTGTGTAAGGAGGGGCTTAGAGAGTGCTTGAGAAGAACCGTGATGAAGCTAGCCACGTTCCCATGTCGGACAGGGAGACCAGGGGTGTCCCCTGCCCCCATCTCTCTTAGCAGGGCCCTGGGCCTTTGCACTGAGCTATATCCCGAGCCCTTTTAAAATTATTGTATTTTGAATAGTCTCCCTAAGTCACTCCCTACTTAGTCTCCCAACTAAGTCACTCCCTAAGTTGCCCAGGCTGAGCTTGGACTGTGAACCTCCTGCCTCAGCCCCCCGGAGCGCTAGGATTATAGGCACTGCCCCTGGCTCAGTGGCGCCTCTCTGTCGGCCATCCTTCCTGCTCCTCGATCAGGGACCTGTTCTCTGAGGATCGTGTTTTCCAGCTAAGTGTTCTCCGCCTCTTCCCGTGGTCACCAGGGAAGTCCCAGGTCACGTTCCCTCCCTCGTTGGTGCCTCTGGCTCCAGCGCACTTGTCTACACTCAAGTCCTTCCACACATTGGCTCATCTGACAGAGGTGTGTCTCCAGATGTGACCCGGCACACTGACTCAGCAGGCCAGGTCCCTGCCCCTTTGGGACTGCCAGCCCGGGGTGGGGTGGTGGGGAGTGTTCTGGCATCTGCCCTGCATCAGCCTAGCCAGAACCTGCTGCTGGGCTCCTGGTCTTCAGCGCCTACTCAACCACAGCCTCCTGCAGCCACAGCCATCATTCAGCACAGCTCTGCCTCGGAAACCAGCCCTTCTAAAGCTCCTCTCCGACCGCAGCCCCTGTCCCTCCAGACGGCCCTTGGTCACTCTGTTAAGTGAGTCCCTTGTCTTCCCTCTCCCTCTTCTCTGTGCTCTGCTTGCCTTCACGTCTGCCTAGCTCCAGGTAGGCTCCTAAGCTGTCTTCTCAGCCCTTCCCCCTCCCTTTCTCTCATCCTCCTGCAAGAAAACTCTAGAACTTCAGAGCTGGCTGCAGCATGGCCTCTCCCCTCCTTCCATTCCTGACTCCATAGGGTCAGATGTGATGTGACTGCTGATTCATACATTTGGTCCCTGTCTTACCTGCAGGCAGTCTGTGTCATTGGTCACCTCCTTCTGTGTTCTCTGTCTTGCTCCTAGGCTGCTGTGTCCTCTCGTTTCCTCTGGCGGCTTGGTCCTCAGTTTCCCGTGGATCCCTTTCCTTTTTCTCTTGCTGTTGCTCATGAGAGCTTCTCACTCCACACCAGTGACGGCTAATGCTCACGCCTAACGCCCTCTTTCTTGTTAATTTATTTTTATCAGTACATGTCTGCAGTACGTGGCGAGTCCGTTTGTTGTGGGGGTTGGTACATGTTCATAGCACATCTTAATTCTCTTTCCCTTCCCTTTCCCTTTCCCTGCCTCCCTCCATCTCTTGGTCCCCTGATGACCTCTTTTTGAACCCCCCCTTTTTTTTTGGTACTGGGGATTGAACTCAGGACCTTGTGCTTGCAAGGCAGATGTGGCGCCACTGAGTTAATCCCTGTCCCAAAACAAATATTTTTTTAACACTTCCTTTTCTAGCTCAGGATTTAGCTCAGTGGTTCCACTGTCTGCCTTGCAAGTGCAAGGACCTGAGTTTGATCCCCAGTACCAAAAAAGAAACAAACAAAAAAACAAAACCATTTCTTTTTCTGTCCTCAGCTGAAATTTGAAATTCAAAGTTAATATATTTATCTACACACACAGTTTTTTTTTGTACCAGAGATCGAACTCAGGACCTTGTGCTTGTCAAGCAGGCGCCGTGCGACTGAGCTAAGTCCCCGGCTGCACACATAATTTTTAAAAATAAGCAATATGAAAAATAATAATCAATATGATATCTTAATTGTAATATGAAGGAGAAAAAAGAAGGGAAGCCATTTCTAATAAAATCATGATAGCGTTGGGCATGGTGGGGCATGCCTGTAATCCCAGCGCTTGGGAGGCTGAGGCAGGAGGATCCCTGTGAGTTTGAGACCAGCCTGGGCTGCATAGCAAGCTCCAGATCAGTCTCAGCTACATAGTGAGACCCTTTCTCAAAACAACAAACAAATGAAGCACCCCCCAAAAAAATCATATGACAGCAATACCTAAATGCCAGGGTATGGATACACCAGAAGACAAAATGCAAAGTTTGGAATGATAAGAAGTAAGATCAATTATTAGAATTTGATACTTGTTATTGAGCACTTGGAAATAGTTGGCAAATGAGTGAGTTTGTGCAAATATGAGTCACTGTGAACATGATGACTTACTAATGCGGCTACATCGAGCATCTCAACTCAGGGGCTTAAATATAAGTGGAGTTGTCTGAGATGTGACTTCCCAACTTGGGGAATGGTTCTCAGCAAAGTTGTACACAAAGTAGCATGAAGTTGTTCCTCAATTTGAACAAGAGATGCATTTCTGGAGATTTTGGTTTACATTATACCCATGCAAAAATATGTGAGTTTTGTTAAACCAAAGTTCTGCTGCCTGCCTCAAAAGTGCAAGGTCCCAAGTTCAATCCCTGGTACCAGAGGGAAAAAAAAGAGTTATGCTGCCAGGCTTGGTGGTTCATGCCTGTAATCCCAGCACTCGGGAGGCTGAGGCAGGAGGATCGCTGCAACTTCGAGACCAACCTGGGCTACATCGTGAGTTCCAGAGCAGTCTCAACTGCATAGTGAGACCCTGTCTCAAACCCCCCCCCAAAAAAAAAGAGTTATGCGTACATTCTTACTGGCAATCACATACTCTGTTGTTCAGACTCACTCGCCACCCTGGGCTGTCAGTTCCAAAGGGGCAGGGACCTGGCCTGCTGAGTCACTGTGCGGGTCACATCTGGAGACACACCTCTGTCAGATGAGCCAATGTGTAGAAGGACTTGAGTGTAGAAGAGAGTGTCCCTCTCTCTTGAGGGAGGGAGCATGACCAGGGGCTTCCTGAGTGACCTGCTGGAACCACCCTGATCAGCAGGGCCCCCAAACTTTACCAAACTTTACCAAACACTCTCTGCTGCTCCCTTCCACACCCAGCCAGAGACCAACACTCTGCATTGCTTCCGGGGCCACCTCGCTATCCACATACTGACACCTTCAGAGTCCTCACGAATCCAGCCGGCTTGGGTCGCTCCTCTTGGACACCGGCCAGGCGTGTCCAAACTCCACATATTTGCAAACCTGACTCCTCAACTGTGTTCCCCCTGCTGGCTCTGTGAGTGGCCGCCGCCACCACCAGTCAGCCAGGCTGCATCCTCAAGGCTAGCATGGTGTCTGGTGTGCACCAGCCCTGGATAATGTTGTTCTGAGTGAATGACAACATTGACCCATGTGGGGTTTCTGGAGAGACTTGGTGTCCAGAGAGGTCGGGTCATTCCCTGTCTGGTGTGTTAGGGTTTGGGTTTTGTTTTGCAGGAAGCCGTATTATTATGTTTCTGTAAAGTTCTACATTGCACCCACACCCACACCTAGCGCCTGGCAGTTCGCGGAGGCAAGCTGCTGCTTTTACTTTTATCTATCCTGGTTGGGGGTTGGAGCCTGGGAGGCCCTTAGCCTCTCTTGTCTTCAGCCCCTCAGGTCTGTGTGGTCGACAGGGAACCTGGCCCTTGTTACTTGCCAGGAGGGAGAACAGAGAGGGCTGGCATAAGCCAGTGCTGCCCTACAGTCCTGCAGCCAGGCCCGTGAGTAGCTCCCCTCCCAAGTTAGTCTTGTATCAACACGACAATAAGAGCAGACACATAGCAGGGCATAGCAGCACATGCCTGGGATTCTAGCATTCTGGGAGACTGAGGCAGAATAGTGGCAAGTTCAAGCTCAGCCCGGGCAACTTAGTGACTTAGCAAGAACTTATCTCAAGACAAAAAAGGACTGAGGATGTAGCTCCGTGTGAATGCCCTGAGTTCAATCCCCAGTGTGCCCCGAGACACACCTACATTCTGTGTGCCAGATTGACTCACTCTTCACAAAGCTCCAGAAGGAAGGCTCTGTGTTTGTACTTACTTCACAGGTAAGGAAGCTGAAACTCAGTTCCAAGGTCATCCAGCTACATGGTTGCTGAGTCACTATTTGGGGATTTTCCAGAGATCTTTCTATTATTGATTTCTAACTTGGGCCCATTGTGGTCAGAGAACATTCTCTGTAGGACTCTAATCCTTTTAAATTTAGAGACTTGTCTTATGGCTTAGCATATGGTCTGTCCTGGAAACCATTCTGTGTATCCTGGCACTGCGCGTATTCTGCTGTTGGTGGGTGTAGTGGTCTATAAATGTGAACAAGGGCCAAAGGGTTGCTGGTGTTATGCAAGCCTTCCATGTATCCTTCCTGATTTTCTGTCTACTTTTCCTAATAATACTTGAGAGAGGAGTGAATTGCAGATGAATTGTGTGTTTCTTTTTTTAGTTCTATCAGTTTTTGCTTCATGAGTTTTGAAACTCATGTAATTAGGTACATTAATGTCCAGGACGGTTATGTCCTCTCCCCACCCCCAGTACTGGGATGGAACTCAGGGACTCTCCAAGCTAAGCAAGCACTCTACCGCTGGGTTATATCCTCAGCTCACAACTTTTAGAATTCTGTTTATCTCCACTATTGACTTGTTAATTAATTATACTTCTTCATTTTATTTTTCATAGTGGTTTTATTTTTCTTAGTGGTCGCAGTGGGTTTATAATTTGTATCTTTTTTGTTTTATTTATTTATTTATTTTTGGTACTGGGGACCAAACTCGGGACCTTGCACTTCGAGGAAGGTGGTGGTACCACTGAACTAACTCCCTGGCTCCATCCTTTTTGTTTTCTTTGCAGTACTGGGGATTGAACTCAGTGCCTTTGCACTGAGCTACATCTCCAGCCCTTTCTATGTTTTTTATTCTGAGATAGAGAAGTAAAAAATAAAAGCTCATTGAGTTACCTAGGCTGGCCTCAAAGTTGTGATCCTTCTGCCTCAGCGGTCCAGAGTGCTGGGATTACAGGTTTGCACCACCACACCTGGCTTAATAAGTATCTTTAATTATTACACAATAGTTTGAAGTAACATTATACCGTTTCATATAAGACGTAACTCCCGCCAGGCATGGTGGCGTACTCCTGGGGTACATAGTGAGACCCTGTCTCAAAAAAGAAACAAACAAACAAAAAAGACATAACTCCCTTCCAACAGTATACATCCATCCAGTCCTCCCTTCTGTTGAACTTTTATCATTTATATTACTTTTGCATATTTTGTGAATCCAACACTATATTAAATTGGTATGTGTGTTTTTGCTTTAAATAACAAATATCTTTCAAAGATTTTAGGGATGGGGAGATAGGTCAGTGTTAAAGTATTTGCCTCATATGCAGAAGTCCTCTGGTTTGATCCCCAGCCCCACAAAAAGAAAGAGGGAGGGAGAGAGGGAGGAGTTTTTAAATGAGGAATGTCCTTTTATTACTTGCATATCTACCATTTCTGGTATTCTTCACTCCTTGTACATCCACATTCCCATTTAATATATTTTCCTTTGGAAGAACTTCCTTTAACTTTTTTTGGAAATGCAAGTCTGCTGGAAATGCAAAAGCATCTATATGAAAAATATTCTCACTGGCTAGGTGTGGTGACGCGTACCTATAACCAGCCCCTTTTTAAATTTTTGTTTTGAGACAGAGTCTTCATAAGTTGCCTAGATGGGACTTGAGCTTGCATTCTCCTGCTTTGGCCTCCCAGAGTGCTGGGATCACAGGCGTAACGCCACCAGATCTGGCTATGCCCGGCATTATTTTTCTTTTTCTTTCGGCACGTTGTTACACTGTCTTGACTCACGTGCTCTGATGCTATGTGCTCTTGCTGTTATCTTTGCTTTAGTGTGTGTAATGTGCCACCCTACACCTAACCCTGGGCAGCTTTTAAGGCTTTCTTTTTATTGCTGGCTTTTTTTTTTTTTTTTCCCAAGTACTGGGGATGGAACGCGGGACCTTGCATTTGCAAGGCACCACTGAGCTAAATTCCCTGGCCCTATGGCTGACTTGTAACAACTAATTATAATGTGCCATAGTGTGTTTTGTGTATACCTGTGTTTATATTACTAAGGGTCTATTGAGTTTTTCTTGGGTCTGCAAGATCAGAGTTTTTGTTAAATTGGAAAAATTTTTAGCTATTACAGCTTCATATACATCATATGTGTGTATATATGTCTTCACTTTCTGTTACCCCTTGTCCCTCTCCAGGACTCCAGTCGCATCTGTGAGGCCACTTTGATACTATTCCTCCGGCCACCGAGGTGCTGTGCTCATCTTCATCTTTGCTCTTCATTATTTTTGTCTCGGATGGATTCTGTTGCTGTCCTCAATTTCCCTGGTCTTTTCTGCTGCAGTGTCTGTGCTGTGTAATCCTGTCTGGTACACTTTCACTTTCAGAGAGGGTGTATTTTATCTCTAGAAGTTCTCTTCATTTCTTTTTTCTTTTTTTGTCTTCCATTTCCCTCCTCATTGCTTGCACATTTTCCTTCATATTTCAATCATTCTGCTTGTATTTGTAATAGCCATTTTAAGGTCCTCATCTGATTTTTCCATCATCCTTGTCAATTCCGGGTCAGTTTTAGTTGAGTGATTTTTCTCTTGGTTGTGGTCGTATCTTCCTGCACCTTTGTCGATCTGGTCATTATTAGATGACAGACGCTGAATTTTACATTATTTACATTGGGGAATGTGTTTCTTTAGAGTCCTGGACTTCTGGTGGGGGGCAGCTGAGTAGTGGAGTGTGTATCTAGCACCACAAAGACAAACGTTGCAAGTGCCTTGGACTTTTTCTGGCAGTAACTTGTGAATTATTATCATTATTATTTATTATTATTATTGGTACCAGGGATCGAACTCAGGGCCTTGTGCTTGCGAGACAGGCGGTGGAACCACTGAGCTAAATCCCCGGCCCACTTGTGAATTATTTTGATCCTCCTAGGCCTGTTTTTAAGCTCTCATAGGGCAGGCCTAGAGTTGCCTTTATTCTAGGGCCCACTTAACCCTGTTTGAGATCTGTTGCACTTCTGCCCCTTTAATCAGTATCTCGTGTATTCTCTCACGACATCCCTACTCTGGCTGGAGAAGCTCCAACAATTTCCAGCCCCGGGTAAACCCCGGAAATTGTTCTCTCCTTGAAAGTTCTCACAGATTGATATTCAGCCAGACTCAAGGGGACCCTCCCTCTCTGTGGAGCTCCCTCCTCTTGAAGATTCTGTCCCACAGGCCCCAGCCCTTTTGCCCCTCATCCTGCCCTCTTTGATCTCCATCTCAAAGCTGTAGGGTTTCCTTTACAGTGCTAAATCCAATCTAGCCTGACAGCCTGGACAGTGATGAGGCTCGCTTTTCACTTTTCTTGGAGATCACAGTCCCATGATGCCTCTTGTCCCGTCTTTAAATAGTTCCTACATTCTGTCCCGTTTTCTAGCTGTTGACAGCAGGAAGGTATATTTCCAGACCATCTTACTCTATTATATCTGGAAGAGGAAGTCTCTAGAACCAGTGTTTAAACCCAGAGAGCCTGGCTTCAGAATTGTAGGCTGTCCACTGATTTGCAGTCCCTGGACCTTTTGAATGTCAGGGTCGCTGTGGGAGAGAGAGGCATCCCCAGTGGGCACATGGTCCTTGTCAAAGTGGCAGGAATGGCTCCAGCCTGTAGCTCACCCCTCTCCCCCCAGGTGGGCCTTCACCTTGATCATCATCTCCTCCTACACTGCCAACCTGGCCGCCTTCCTCACCGTGCAGCGCATGGAGGTGCCTGTGGAGTCGGCTGATGATCTGGCAGATCAGACCAATATTGAGTACGGCACCATCCATGCTGGCTCCACCATGACCTTCTTCCAGGTGGGGCCACCCTGAACCTCCCTGCTGTGCACAGTAGCTCCAGGTGGGACTAGGCGGGGCCTCCACTGTAGTCAGGGAGGCTGAGGAGCAAGAGACACACTCGTGCTGTCAGGTGGGAGCATTGCTGTGTGATGAAGACCTGGGCTTTCAGTGGAAGAATGAGAACAGATGTGGGACCTGAAGTAGAATCGGTGTCTTTCAGTACAGGACAGGTAAGGTCTAGGGGGCTGCTGAAAGCGTCAGGCCTAGGACCACGAGCCAGCAGAGAGGGGGAAAGGCCCTGCATGGTGGAAGGAGCTTGCCCCCTTGTTTTGGGGATGGTGAGAAGGAAAAGAAAGGAAACCTGGCAAAGGTCAGAGACTCGGACGCCTCAAAGGCCAGGGTGAGCACTAAGATCGGACCCTGCACATGGGCAGGTGGGACCAAAGAGTGTCCAGATAGAGTCAGAAGTTCCCATGCGGCTGGGTTGGGTAGACCAGTAGTCAGGAGAAGGCCAGAGATGTACCGGGGCCACTGCGTGCAGGGTTAGGGGAGAGGAAGTGGAGGTAAACTCCTGGGTCTCCCGGGTAGAGTTGATTGGGCAGCTGCCTTGCCAGTGGAGGGCTCTGGGGCACCCAGGAAGAACAGGAATGAGGATGACTTGCACCGATAGTCTGTTCTCTCTCTAGCTTTGGTTCTGTCTTCCCCTGCTCTTCGCTCTCAGGTGAGGGAGACCCTCAGAGGGTAGGAAACTTGGCTCGGGGGATAGGACAGGGGTTGAGAGGCCCTCACCTATCTCCCCTTGTGTTTCCCCTGCCCAGAATTCAAGGTACCAGACGTACCAGCGTATGTGGAATTACATGCAGTCCAAGCAGCCCAGCGTGTTCGTCAAGAGCACAGAGGAGGGTATTGCCCGCGTCCTCAACTCCCGCTATGCTTTCCTGCTTGAGTCCACCATGAACGAGTATCACCGGCGCCTCAACTGCAACCTCACCCAGATTGGGGGCCTCCTGGACACCAAGGGCTACGGCATCGGCATGCCGCTGGGTATGGCTGCGGCACAGTGTGGAGCGGGGCCCTGTGAGTCCGGAGCGGAGCTGTGCGAGCAGGCTTGGGACTGGGCCAGGCCCTCCCTGAAGCAGGCTGGGGGTGTTGGAGTTGGCCTCAGGCGGTGTCATCACCATCGTGCATCTCTATTACTCTCAGCCTGCAAAACTGGGCCAAGAGCGATAAGTTCCAGCCTCTCGGGTTGTCTAGAGGATCTAGTGAATCTTTGCGTGCACAGCTCAGTACAAGTGGGTCAAAGGCTTTGCTGTCTTCCTCCATTGATCTAGGGGTCCTCTGGGGGTGAGGACTTGGTTTTATTTGCTTTGTATGCTCTGTACCAGGCCTACAGCTTGGCTCAGTCAGAGCAGGTGCTCAGAAAATGCTGGACAGATGGAAGGATGAATGGGAAAAGAAGGAAGGTAGGAGAGATCTGCAGGGAGACTTGCACATGCCGATTTATACTTCAGGACTTGCATCCAGGGCTCAGGGCTGGAAATCCACTACCAACTCGTCTCCAATAGTTTTTTTAGTACTAGGGATTAACCCAGGGATTTTGCATTGAGCTACATCCCCAGCCCTTTTTATTTTTTGTTTTTTTATTTTATTTTATTTTTTTTTGAGATAGGGTCTCACTAAATTGCAGAGACTGGACTTGAACTGGTGACCCTCCCACCTCAGCCTCCCACTGCTGGTATTATAGGTTTTCTGTGGCATTTTGGCTTTTAAAATTGTCTATATGCTGATGGTGCCTGCATTAGTTGCCTGGGACTACCCAGCAAATCACCCAGATCCTAGGAGCTTTGCAGGAGAGTCGGTACTGTGCTAGGGTAGTAGTGTAGCCTAGTGCTTTGGGGACAGGCTCTGGAGTCACACAACCTACATTCAGATCCCCCTTTGCTACCTGACTCGGTACATAACCACCTCCTCATTCAGAAATACCTGCCCCAAGCGGCAGTGTCTGCCTCACAGGATCGTGTGAGACTTAGAAACCTCTGTAAACCCAGAGTGTAGCATGTAGAAGATACCTGATAAACATGGACCACCCCCGACTCAGCCATATCCCTCCTTCCTGGCCTGTGGCAGATGCTTAGTAAACAAGGAAAGAGGTACAGGCACGGTGTGGAGGGGCACAAGGGTGGATGAAGGGGAGGATATGAGAGTGAAGATGAAAGAGGAGGTGCAGAGAGGAGGGGAGGACGGGGATCTGTTCGCTCGGCAGATCGGTCTCCGCCCTTCCTCCGCACTGGACTCTGGGACAGCAGGGCAACGGCCATGCCCCAAGCTCTGCTGCCTTCCAGGGCCGTGGACAGCAGAGACCACAAACAGAGCCGTGTCCCGTGACATCAGGTGGTGACAAGTGTTGTGACACAAATGCAGGAGAAGAGACTGACAGGAAGTGGGGTGCTTGGTGCCATTTAAAATAAAGTAGTTTTAGAAGACTCCTGAGGAGCCAGCAGTGAGCAGAGACCTGATGATGTGGAAAGGACATTCCAGGCAGAGCCAGGGGTCTTCAGGTGGGACTTGGCTTGGCAGATTCAGGAAACTGCCAGGAGGCCATTGTGCCTGGAGCCGAGAGAGCCTTGAGCGGGGGCCCCTGAGAGCAGGGGCCTGTGAATGTGGCCTCTTGTCGGCCGAGGAAAGGGCCTCCTAGCAGCAGTGGAAGCCACGGGAGAGGTCTCAGCAAGGCAAGGCCTGATCTGACTGCTCCCAAAACTGCCTGTCTGGCTTCTGTGTGAGGAAGACACAGGGAAAGGGTGGCACAGAAGACTGCGCACTTGGCAGGGGTCAGGGAAGGCCATGGTAAGAGGCAGTTGGGGTTTAGAGTGAACAGGGCCCGAACAGCACCCCCTCTTGTGTGCCTGGCCCAGGCTCCCCGTTCCGGGATGAGATCACACTGGCCATCCTGCAGCTCCAGGAGAACAACCGGCTGGAGATCCTGAAGCGCAAGTGGTGGGAGGGGGGCCGGTGCCCCAAGGAGGAGGACCATCGAGCTAAAGGTCAGCCACCCCACCCCGCGGGGGCGTGCCCTTCCCAGGAAGCCCCTCCCGACACCACGCCCACACAGCCCCGACCCTGTGGCTCTCCCCTGCCTCCCAGGTTTAGGCATGGAGAATATCGGCGGCATTTTTGTCGTGCTCATATGTGGCCTCATCATCGCTGTCTTCGTGGCGGTCATGGAATTCATCTGGTCCACGCGGAGGTCAGCGGAGTCTGAGGAGGTGAGAAGGTTGGCAGCGTGGGGGCAGGGAGCAAAGGACCAGTCCCAGGCCCGAGGCACGTGAAGGCTGCCGCATCAGGAGCCAAAGCTGGCAGATGGTGGGGATCTGGAGAGGGGCAGGAGGGACCTAGGGAGCCAAGAGGTGACAGGACTTCTTGGATGTCGGAGGCCCCAGGAGAGGTAAGAGACAGCAGACAGGGACAGAGAGCCAGGAAGCAATATGACACAGGGAAAGGGGGTGAGGGGGGCACAGGAAGAAGGTGTAGGGAGCCGCAGAAGTGGTAAAGCAAGAGGAGAAACAGAAGTGACAAGAACACAGATGTGCCGATCAGCCCCATGCTGTCGTCAGGATCGCTGCTTCCAGAGGTCCTTGGGTGCTGCCTGGCCCTCCCCTTGCATTTCTGGGCCATTCCTGCCCCCACAACACTGTTAGTCCCGCTGCCTCTCTCTGCCAGCCTCCCCTCCCCACTTCCAGCAGCAGGCTTTGAGTCAGACCCACAGCCTACATCCAGTCACCCGCATTCTTCTTCACCTGGCCCATCGACTCCTTAGAAGCCCCCACCTGTGCCCAGATCAGCCCCTCACCTTCCTGAGAACAGCCCTGCAGCAGCCCTCCTGCATCTCAGCCATTGACCTTTATAGATGGAGCCATCCGTATACAAATGTGTTGTCTTTCCTCCTGCCTTACCGAAGGCCTTTCTGGACCCCACTCCTCCCGTACTGTGCTGCCTGATCTCTGTTTCTTCAGTCTCTGAGGACTTGTGTCTCTCTGCCCCTGCCAGTTTCTCTCCTCCCATTCATTCTGGGGCCTGCTCCAGGTCAGCTTCTGTACCCACCACTCCATTCGCATCGCTAGCAACCTCCACGCCTGGTGTCCAGTGCCTGAGCCTCGGCCTCATCCCCGTGCAGCCGCGGCAAGCTTCAGTACTATTTATTCTCTCTCCTCAACACCCTGTCCTTTCCGCTTGGCCCTCTTTCTCTTCCTCCTCTCTGGCCACTCCTTCCCAGGCCCATTTGTCCCGTCCCTCTTTCTCCCCAGCCTATTTTTTTTTGGAGGGGTGTCCTGGCTCCATCCTGAGATTGCTTCTCTTTCTCCATTTGTCCCACGAATGGCTTTGAAGACAGTGGTGTACCGATGACTTTGGCATTCTGTTGCTACTGTAACAGATTAACAGCTTTAAGAGAACAAACTTATATCAGCTCCGTTTCAGGGACCAGCTTAGCTGGATGGTGCCCTGAGGTTGCTGATGAGGTCAGTCATGATGTTGGCCATGGCTAACATAGTCTAAAGTCGTGATGGCAAATCTTTTATAGGCTCAGTGCCCAAATTGCACCCCAACACCACTTATTCATCACAAAGTGCCAACGATGCCCTTAAACCTGAATACTGAAGTTTTGGTTCAGGAAAAAAAAACTCACACTTGGTTCATGTGCCTCCCTGCCCGCTGTGGCACGTAGGCCATAGGTTCACCGCCACTGGTCTAAAGGCTCTATTGGGGCCACAGGGTCCCTTCCAAGATAGCGCATTCTCACAGGTAGCCATCATATTCTAATTTATGAGGTGACTGAATTGTGACACGGGGGCCAGCACCATCAAAAAGGAGATTCGCATGTTTCTGTTTCCTGAGATGAGGGCGGAACACCGCCAAGAGCCACAAGGGAAGCTCCACACCTGGTCAGGAGGCAGCGAGAAGGAAAAGGCAAGGCAGGAAGTACCTTGTGTAGGGTCGGCCAGTTGGAGTCATGTTGGTGGAATGTGAACTGCTGGGCTGTCCTTGGTTGTTGTGTACCTGCCTGGGTTAATTCAGGGCAGGATAAATACTGGTGGTGTGTGAGATCAGGTGAAAAGGGTGGTGGTTGGGCTTGGATATAACAGGCGCAGCTCTGTGCTATCTAAGATTTGCCTAGGTCTGGGAGAGGCACTCTCTTCCCAGCCTGAAAAATTTTTAAGATGTTGAAACATCAAAAAAACCACGATGGATACTGTCAAGGGCAGTTGGCAGGAGGCCTCAGTTCCTCAAACAAGAACCTGTCCGTGGGCTGCCTGAGTGTCCTTGGCCGTGGCAGCTGACACCCACTAGAGTGAATGATCCAAGAGACACAGCAAGGCAGGGCTAAAATTTTATGATGACGTAGCCATATTTTGTTGTTCACACAGACCAGCCCTGATTCAGTTAATTCAGTGAGAGATCACATGAGACACACTGAGACCACAGAGGCAGAAGGTTGGAACTCAGAGGCGGTCCACCATGATTGCCAAGTGTGTATGTCTCCTGAGCCAGAGGTTTGTCACCTGAGCTCCATACCTGACATCGCACACAGATGTCTAATGTGTGCATGGTGTTATGTGTCCCGCACTGAGCTCCTGCCCACCCACAAGCGACACCAGCCATCCATTTGCTCTGGCTGCAGCACGTGGAGCGAGCCTTTACTCCTTCCTCTTTCACACCCTCTTGGCAAATCCTACTGGTTCCACCTTTCCAGAAAACCCGGAAGAAGGCGCACATCTGCTCGCCTCACTCTGGTCCAGCCACCAGCCCACCCTCATGGCCCACTGTAGCAGTCTCCCCTGTGGGCCCAACAGCCAGCTCTCACACTGTCTCACAATCCCACGGAGACCCAGCCGCCCTCTACTTCTGTCTTCAGTAGCTCCCGACTGTTTCCCAAGTAAAGCCAGCAGCCTCACGTGGGTCTACAGGCCTTGCCCGAGCTGCGTCCTGTCCTCTGCTCACTTCCTTCACCTCTCCTCATGCAGGCCCCATTCCAACCTCTGGCCTGTGCTGATTCCTTGGACCTGCCAAGCTGCTCCCACCTCAGCGCCTCTGCCCTGCTCTGTCTGCCCACAATGCCTCCTCCCAGGGCCCCCCACACGCTTGCCACGTCTTTATGTAGAGGTTTTCCTTTCAGCAAGACCTCCTTATCTGTCCTGTCTCAAAATGCAGCATCACCCCATACCGCACCACCTGCCTCTCTTCCCTCGTATATTCTCCAAAGCACTTAGCATCTGAACACTGCATACATTTATGTATTTGTTACTTCCGTCTCTGCACACTGGACCGTAACCTCCACAACCTTCATGAGGGCTGAGGTTTCTGTTTTGTTCTTTGCTGGGTTCCCGGTGCCCAGGACAGCATCCGGCACACAGTAGGCACTTGGTAATCTGCCTTGCAATGACCACTTTCTCATCAGAAAATTCGTATGTGAAGACGGGGGGGGGG